TGGCGGGGGAGAGGGGGGTGTCTGGCTCCCCGGGGACATAGCGGGTCCGCAGCCACAACCAAAGGGGTCCCGGCATGGGCAACATCACCCCCGGGACCCCTGCCGGGAGAGAAGGGTTTGGGGGAGAGCCCCAGGGCTGAGGAGGGACAAACTCCCCCAGCTCCGGGGACATACACACAGCACAGCCCCGGGACCCCCGAAATTCAGGCTGCGTCACTGGGGCTCGGGAAGTGTCGAAGGCTCCACTGTTGCGCCCTGACTGAGGTGACAGCACCTGGGGAGTCTGGGGTGGCTTCCATGGCCTCCCGGCACTGTGGGGTGTGTGGCATTGACTGGGAGCCGGGGGGGGAGAGGAATGGGAAAACCCCCGTAAAGACCCGCATGGGCCATGAGGACGGAGCTGGGGGCTCGTCCACCTCTGGAGCAGTTGGTCAGGGAAGCTCTAAAGCCACCCCAAGGTCCCTGTGAAGCTACAGGGGGAATTTCAAGGGGGGGACGTGGCTGGGGACAGCCGTGACAGATGGAGGGCTGGGAGCTGGGGGACATGGGGACGCAACCGGCAGAGGGAAGGAGAACTGGGAAGTCAGCGGCAGCCCGGGGAGGCAGGGCCGGCAGCACTGTGTGTCCCAGCTGGGTCAGTCCCTCCCAGCCACTGCGGGGGCCAGCACCAGTGGGTGCTGCTGGGGCGTCCCTGCTGCCAGGCTCAGCACCCACTCCCCGCCTGCTGTCACCCCCTGGTCACTGCCCCGTAGCTGTGCCAGGCGGTCCCTGTCCAGTGAGGCTGTGCCGTATGGGCCACGTCCCCCGTAGCTGTGCCGTATGGTCCCCATCCTACACAGCTATGCCATAAGGTCCATGCCCTCCATAGCTGTGCCATACAGTCCCTGTCCTATGGCTGTGCCGTAAGATCCCCATCCTATGTAGATGTACAGTAAGTTGTGTCCTATGTAGCTATGCCATGCCCATCCTATAGCTGTGCCATACAGTCCCCATCCTATCTTCTTGTGCCGCAGAGGCCCTGTCCTCCCTATACATATATGATGTATAGTCCCTCTTCCACATAGCAGTGCCAGCTGGCCCCCATCCTACACAGCTGCACAATGTCATCTCTGTCCTATGTGGCTGTGCCATACAGGCTGCGTCCTTTGTATTTGTCCCGTATATTCTCCATCCTATATGGATGTGCCATATGTTCCCAGTCCCATTTAATTGTGCTGTATGGTCCTCATCCTACACAGTTGTGCTGTACAGCCCCCATCCTACACAGCTATGCCATACTGTCCCTGTCCTATGTAGCTGTGTAACGCAGTCCTTGTCCTAACTGTGATATATGGTCCCCAGTGTATGTAGCTGTGTCATATGGTCCCTGTCCTACATAACTTACCTATACAATCCCTGTCATATATGACTGCGCCCGAATGGTCCCTGTCCTGTGTAGCTCTTCCAAACAGACCACGTCCTATTCATCTATGCCATACCACCCCAGCCTATGCATATGGTCCCCATCCTACGTGGTTGTGCCATATCGTCCCTGTCCTATGTAGCTGTGGCATATGGTTCCCCATCCTGAGGAGCTGTGCTATATGCCCCAAAGCCTGGTCCCATCTGCTCTGTTATCTGAGCCCCGATGCCACCTCTGCATGGTCCAACAGCCTCAAGTTTGCAGTGCAGGGTCCATCCCCATTCCTGACCTGGGCTGAGACTGGCCAGCTCACTACACAAGTGCCGAGGCGGCACAGCCGGATGCCAGGATGCCAGAGTGGCGCTGCCTGTCCCATGGGGCATCCTGCGCCGCCAGAGCCACCCCAGCCCCACACCCCCCAGTCTGGCACCCCTGGGCGTTGCTCTCCACCCGGGGCCTTTGATCTGCTCCCAAAAAAACAGGCATCACGCCCCTGGCCCCCAACCCGCTGGGGAGCCGTGGCAGCACCTTCCCCAATCCCTGATCTCGGCCACACTGGAGTGAAGGAGAGGGCAGGCGGCTGGAAAAACATAAAATGGATTTTCTTTCTTTCTTCCTTTTTATTTTTTTTCCCTTTCCTGGAGTACAAAAATAACAGTGCCCTTATCTGATGGCCCCGGGCGGCCCAGCTGAGCCCCCTTATCTGATCCTGACATAATGCTGGAGCCCGATGCCTTCCCCAGGGACTGACGGTGCCCGGCTGGCACCGCTGCTCCGCATCCCCTCCGCTGGCATCCCTGCCCTGCACTGGGGGCGAGCCTGGCCGCAGCCCCCTGACCCTGCCCGACATCCCCACGGAATGCTGCCAGACATGTAACGAGCTGCCCGTTCTCTGCCCGTCAATGCCAGGGGCCGCCCAGCCATGCCCAGTGCTGTGAGGGCAGGAGTAGAGGGGAAGAGAGATGCAGCCTGCGGCACCCAGATAAGCTGCTGTTTATCTTCCTCCCGATGCTGTCGGCCGTGTGGCCGCTGCACCAGGGGGAGGAAGCGCCGGACAATATGTGGGCCTGCGGCAGCGTCACTGGGGGGGGCTGTGCTGTGACCCCACCGCCACGCCACCAGAGCGAGACAGGGCCCAGGGATGCTGTGATGGACACGATATGGCACGGGTGGACCTTTGTCGGCTGCCGCATTCTGCAGCCTCGACGCCCAGAGCATCTCACCCTCTGGCCCCGGTCCCCATGGGGGTGGCTGGGTGGCCCTGGCATGGGATCCTGTCATCTCCCAGTACAGTGGCTGGAACCACCAGGAATGGGACGGGAAGGGACGGAGCTTAGTGGCCACCTCCAAAGCAAACACAGTGGCCCAGGCACCACGTACCCATGGGGAGCCCCCAGCCATGGCTGTGGGGCTCCATCCCCCCCCAGCAAGGGGGCACCTGTGGGTGCAGGCGGGG